GTCAGTTGCCCTTCTTAAATAGTCAGTTTTTTTTTTCCGTTTGAACTTCAGGGAATATTCTGTGATTTTATTTGTCGATTTATTAAATTCTTATAGGTGCCTTTTTTTTAAAGATCATGGGGAATGGTTGGAATGATTTTACTGTTATTATTATTATTATTATTATTATTATTATCGTCATTGTTATTTTCATTGTTTTTTATCTTTATTATTATTATTACTGCAATTATTGTTATTATTATTGTATTATTATTATTATTATTATCATTATCATTATCATTATCATTATCATTATCATTATTATCATTATCATCATCATCATCATTATTATTATTGCCATTATTGTCATTATGATGATTATTACTGATTATTATTTTTATAAGTATCATTGTTATTATTATTGTCATCATTAATATCATTGATATTATTATTATTATTACTATTATTATAATTATACATAATTAAGATTATCATCATTACTGTTATGGTAATGATAATAATAATGATCATAATTATTATTATTATTATTATTATTATTGTGATTTTGTTTATGATTTTTGTAATTATAATTTTATATTTTTTGTTATTGCTATTATTGTTATCATTGATATTATTATTGATTTTGTTGTTATTATTGTTTTGTTATTATTTTAATTTTTTATCTAGCTTTACCTTATTATTATGGTTATTGCTATTTTTATTATTATTTTTATTTTGTTATTGTCATTATTATCAGTATTATTATCATTATCATTATTATTATTATTATTAATTTATTATTTTTATTATTATCATCATCATCACCATCACCATTTCCATCATCATCACCACCACCATCACCATCATCACCATCATCATCATCATCAAATTACTATCCACATCATTTATTTATTTTCAAGATATCTAAGGATGCTATTAGTATGAATTATCAGTAGATCTTTGTAACAGAACTGGATGGCTAGCAGTGCATTTCCAATAGATATAGGTATTTTGTTGTCTCTAGAAATCATAATGAATGCAGAAGTAACTGATGACAGTTTGGACGGAACATTTATTTTGTGTTATTTTTTTATATATATATTTTTTTAGTTTTGTTTGTAAATCTTCCAGTTTTTGTCTGGCTATGTATCCTTGTGTGTCTATTTAGGTGATCTGTTTATTTTCATAAACAGTTGTACAAACAGACGGAAGTATGCACACGCATCCATACATGCACGCACACGCGCGCGCACACACGCACGCACACACCCACACACACACACACACACACACACACACACACACACACACACACACACACACACACACACACACACACACACACACACACAGTATTTATATGAATTTATATATATATATATATATATATATATATATATATATATATATATATATATATATATATACGTACATATGTATATGTGTGTGTGTGTGTGCACGTGTACGTGCGCGGGGAGAGAGAGAGAGGGAGGGAGGGAGGGAGGGAGGGAGGGAGGGAGGGAGAGAGAGAGAGAGAGAGAGAGAGAGAGAGAGAGAGAGAGAGAGAGAGAGAGAGAGAGAGAGGGAGGGAGGGAGGGAGAGAGGGAGAGAGAGGGAGAGAAAGAGAGAGAGAGAGAGAGAGAGAGAGAGAGAGAGAGAGAGCACGTTCGTTTGTGGTATCGTAGAAAATATATAAACCTGAGTTTGAATAGGTAACGTGCTATGGGGGAACCCTGTTCGTAATTCAGCAATTTGTTGCATCAAAGATACTCGTGGATGTCTCTGTGCGCCCTGGATCATGGCATTCAGGCACTCAGTTGCCGTGTTCATGATTTGTGTCGGGCTTTGTATTTGTGTGTGAATGTGCTCTATGTTTATATTTATATATTTGTGTGTGTGTGTGTGTGCAAACAAATAATATATATATATATATATATATATATATATATATATATATATATATATATATATGTATGAATGTATATATATATATATATATATATATATATATATATATATATATATATATATATATAATACATAGGGATACACCTACATACATACATCTGTGTACACACAGACAGCACACATTTATTTTGAACATTACTTCATTATAAATGTACGCGGAGATACGCATCGACAGTCAAATAAAAGAAAAAATGAAAAAAAAAAACATGTTAGTATGTAAGTAGTTTTGTCCACATGTAGAGGTACAAATGCCATTTGTACATTCATTTTGACGTATACTAATCATGTCCATGTGCATGCATGTATATAGTCAAGCAATAGGAAACTTGAACGTACGTCCGGTATTGATTATTTGTCTGAGCATTTTGGTCATTGTGGTTCATTTCGATATATTCTTATGGCCTGTAATTTTAGATGAATAATTTTGAGGTACCCTTGCACACTCGTTATACTTGCAAACATGCTCGCCCACGTGTACACATGCAGTCATTCATAAGTGGCCTGTAGCCGTTTATTACAAATTATCCCGCTTGACCAGTTAATAACTTCCCCGTTAGTTTCCGTTGATATGTAAATAGGCAACCACCTGGTCTGTATACTGCGATGTCGGCGATCCAATTTTTGTGAGCCTGTTTCCTCGTCCTAAAACTATTAGGGCGCTTGTCCAGGGTCAGTCGGATCTTACATCACGCGGAGATCGGGTCGGGAAGAGAGAGAGAGAGAGAGAGAGAGAGAGAGAGAGAGAGAGAGAGAGAGAGAGAGAGAGAGAGAGAGAGAGAGAGAGAGAGAGAGAGAGAGAGAGAGAGAGAGAGAGAGAGAGAGAGAGAGAGAGAGAGAGAGAGAGAGAGAGAGAGAGAGAGAGAGAGAGAGAGAGAGAGAGAGAGAGAGAGAGAGAGAGAGAGAGAGAGAGAGAGAGAGAGAGAGAGAGAGAGAGAGAGAGAGAGAGAGAGAGAGAGAGAGAGAGAGAGAGAGAGAGAGAGAGAGAGAGAGAGAGAGAGAGAGAGAGAGAGAGAGAGAGAGAGAGAGAGAGAGAGAGAGAGAGAGAGAGAGAGAGAGAGAGAGAGAGAGAGAGAGAGAGAGAGAGAGAGAGAGAGAGAGAGAGAGAGAGAGAGAGAGAGAGAGAGAGAGAGAGAGAGAGAGAGAGAGAGAGAGAGAGAGAGAGAGAGAGAGAGAGAGAGAGAGAGAGAGAGAGAGAGAGAGAGAGAGAGAGAGAGAGAGAGAGAGAGAGAGAGAGAGAGAGAGAGAGAGAGAGAGAGAGAGAGAGAGAGAGAGAGAGAGAGAGAGAGAGAGAGAGAGAGAGAGAGAGAGAGAGAGAGAGAGAGAGAGAGAGAGAGAGAGAGAGAGAGAGAGAGAGAGAGAGAGAGAGAGAGAGAGAGAGAGAGAGAGAGAGAGAGAGAGAGAGAGAGAGAGAGAGAGAGAGAGAGAGAGAGAGAGAGAGAGAGAGAGAGAGAGAGAGAGAGAGAGAGAGAGAGAGAGAGAGAGAGAGAGAGAGAGAGAGAGAGAGAGAGAGAGAGAGAGAGAGAGAGAGAGAGAGAGAGAGAGAGAGAGAGAGAGAGAGAGAGAGAGAGAGAGAGAGAGAGAGAGAGAGAGAGAGAGAGAGAGAGAGAGAGAGAGAGAGAGAGAGAGAGAGAGAGAGAGAGAGAGAGAGAGAGAGAGAGAGAGAGAGAGAGAGAGAGAGAGAGAGAGAGAGAGAGAGAGAGAGAGAGAGAGAGAGAGAGAGAGAGAGAGAGAGAGAGAGAGAGAGAGAGAGAGAGAGAGAGAGAGAGAGAGAGAGAGAGAGAGAGAGAGAGAGAGAGAGAGAGAGAGAGAGAGAGAGAGAGAGAGAGAGAGAGAGAGAGAGAGAGAGAGAGAGAGAGAGAGAGAGAGAGAGAGAGAGAGAGAGAGAGAGAGAGAGAGAGAGAGAGAGAGAGAGAGAGAGAGAGAGAGAGAGAGAGAGAGAGAGAGAGAGAGAGAGAGAGAGAGAGAGAGAGAGAGAGAGAGAGAGAGAGAGAGAGAGAGAGAGAGAGAGAGAGAGAGAGAGAGAGAGAGAGAGAGAGAGAGAGAGAGAGAGAGAGAGAGAGAGAGAGAGAGAGAGAGAGAGAGAGGAGAGAGAGAGAGAGAGAGAGAGAGAGAGAGAGAGAGAGAGAGAGAGAGAGAGAGAGAGAGAGAGAGAGAGAGAGACAGAGAGAAAAGGAAAGCGGATAGAGGCAGAAAGAGAAAGAAAGCGGGTATTCAGAGAGAGAAAGAGAAACAAGGATGAAAGGAAAGTGATAAAAAAGAGAGAAAGGTAGAGGGAAAAGAGACAGAAAAAGGGGGGGATGAGTGCCCAATCGTGCATTAATCTATATTCCCGTCTCTTCTGTGATTTTCGGTTCGTTCTGCTTCCAGTTTATTTTTGCAACTCGCAATCTTGTTTTTCAATCCCTTTCTACTTTCTGCCAAATGTTTTTTTTTCCTCTCTCCTTTCTCTCTCTCTCTCTCTCTCTCTCTCTCTCTCTCTCTCTCTCTCTCTCTCTCTCTCTCTCTCTCTCTCTCTCTCTCTCTCTCTATCTCTATCTCTTCTCTCTCTCTCCTCTTCCTCCTCTCTCATCCTCTTTATTCCGAGAGAGAGAGGGAAGGAAAACAAGGGAGAGAGGAGAGAAAAGGAGGAGAGAGAGAGAGAGAGAGAGAGAGAGAGAGAGAGAGAGAGAGAGAGAGAGAGAGAGAGAGAGAGAGAGAGAGAGAGAGAGAGAGAGAGAGAGAGAGAGAGAGAGAGAGAGAGAGAGAGAGAGAGAGAGAGAGAGAGAGAGAGAGAGAGAGAGAGAGAGAGAGAGAGAGAGAGAGAGAGAGAGAGAGAGAGAGAGAGAGAGAGAGAGAGAGAGAGAGAGAGAGAGAGAGAGAGAGAGAGAGAGAGAGAGAGAGAGAGAGAGAGAGAGAGAGAGAGAGAGAGAGAGAGAGAGAGAGAGAGAGAGAGAGAGAGAGAGAGAGAGAGAGAGAGAGAGAGAGAGAGAGAGAGAGAGAGAGAGAGAGAGAGAGAGAGAGAGAGAGAGAGAGAGAGAGAGAGAGAGAGAGAGAGAGAGAGAGAGAGAGAGAGA